AAAGTTAATACCAAGCTTTTGAGACAGGTAGACATCAAGAAGTGGTGGACTAGCTTTCAGGGCTATTTAAATTTTTATTAGAGAATATTGTCTTTCGTAAGTGTTGGCAAATAGCCCTGTTGTATCAGCAGCTGAGTGACCTGCAGAAGCTTTTATCAGCAGAACATTCATGTAAACACTTGAAACTAAGATCATCCTCACACTCAAAGCAACAGAAATGCATGTGCTGTACTAAGTAAGGGTCCTACTGCATAAATGAGAATAATTTAGTAAGAGTTGCTTCAAACTAAAATTCAGTTCTTATGTTTTTGTAAAGTATGCAGTGTTTATAATCAATGCTCTGCCAGCAGTTGTAGCAACTTTCCTTGCAGTATTACAGGGTCACTAAAAATGTCATGTTGACTTAAATTCGCTTATGTCTAGGAGTCACATGATAGAGTACATAAAATAAGAAATCAGATGTTTTATTAACTTTCTGCAGTTATGCTTGGTTTTTAGAGTGGCCTTACAAGTATAAAAAACTAGTAAGTTTTCCTTGTTCCCATTTATGTCTCAGAGCAGAATGTTGGTCAAAACCAGAAAATAGGAGAGTAGTTACAAGATAAGACAGTAATGCGTAAAGTTAGGCAACCTTTTAACCACTAAAGTCACTCATGTTGTTTTGAAGGTACCTGAAAGTTTATATTGCTTCCTCAATTTTTGTCAGTTACTAGAAGTGTGGGCAACAAGTCAAGCTTTTCAGATTAAAATAGCTCTTCACCCCGAAGGCAGACATCCCACATGTTATCACAGTGTACCTGTTCCACCTCCTCCCACCAAAAGACCCAATCTCTCCCCTAGCTTTGTTTTAAGTTGCTCGTCCCAGACGACCTCTGATGTGCTAGTACATCTGCTGGCCCAAAGCATTAGTCACCACAGCAGTAGTTTTGTAGACAGATGCCTCTACAGCAAACTTTAATTAGGAAAATTTCAGTGTAAAAATAGGGGCGTTCTTCTTGGTTTTGAGAAGCACACATTGAAATGTTGAAGTCCAAATGCCTCAACTGGGTAGACAAAGCCCAAAGTAAAAGAAGGTGCAAGCACAGTTGGATCAACAGTGCTGCCAGGGATGAAATAGCACAATCCCAGGCTATTATTTTACCCATGATGGCACATATCTTGAACTGTGCTCATTTCTCAAACTGTTATAGTAAAAAAAACCAAAAACTGAGATAACCTCTGCTAGTCATAAAATAAAGCCACAAATTTTTTGATAGTAAGTCCTAACTAGTTGCTGCTTTTCAAGATTTAACTTAAGTCACCATTCCTATACATTTAGTCACCTTCATACAGTGTGTGTGAAGTGACAATACAAAGGGAAATAGATTTTAAACATCAGTCAGGCCTGCTCAGCAATACAGGTAAGAGTATCCCAGACTTACCAGTACTTGATGACCCCTGGATGTTATGCCAACAAATACACACCATGTACAACCCCAATGGACAGCCATCTGCTTTAAAAAATGCATCTTTTTCATTCACATTGGGAAAATGCTGTCTTGCCAAAGGAAGGCTCTTCTAGACACAGGTGGGAACTTTACCTGTCACAGTTGATTTCACTGCATACATCTTTTGCAGAAGAGGCCACACAAGCCTCAAGCATGTTTCTGCAGTAATGAAGCTCTTCCACAAGTGCCCCAGCTAACGCTCATGTCCCCCAATTACAGCTCACCCTCTGCCAGGGTCATCCTTCCAGCTTGTCTTATCTACCACTGTTAGTACCACACAGATGTTTATAGACATTTCTGGAATTCTTACTATTTAGGTACAAAAGGAACTAGTCCTCCTCCACCATATTACATGAAGCAGTTTCACATTTTCTTCCTTGGCTTTGTCATAGAACTTTAATATAGTAAGAAAAGTACGACCTCTGTACAAATTTGCATCAGGTTCCCTCACTCATGAGCTCCAACTACCCAGAGGTGCTCAGCTACATATAACCGAATTTGTATCTTTCAGTACTGACCTTTCTTCTGGGCAACTGCACTTATAACTGAAAATTTTTAGTGTTGCTCCTTGACTGCCTGCTTATCTGCAGCTAACTCTCAAAATATAAGCAGTTTTGATTTTAAACTGAAGGCAGTTACATAAACACATTTTGTCCTTATTTCCATATAACAAAATAATTCAACTGTGGCTAGTTATACTGTACTCAAACTGGTGTAAGTTGAGAACTAAAACTATCCTTCCGTGAAAGAGCGCAAGCTGAACACACAGATGTCCCTGCTGGAATATGAACTCCAAATATAGCTCCTCATTTAATGCCAAGCACTGTGTCTTGCATCCTTTGATTACTCCAGCGATCAAAGAACGTAACCGCATAAAAAGTCACAGTACACACTATTTCTATAAGTAAATATAAAGAGTCAGTTTGTTAACACTGGTTATGACTGACATCTTGAGATACTATTATCTACGTGCGTTGTTCACAGACTTATGACCCCATCATCCCAGTAAACTTGACTCCATCACACTGTAGTGATGGGAGATGCTCCACACCACAACACATGCTACAAGGTGGTGTATCAAAAAACCTCACAGTAAAGATGTGAAAGAGAAGGTGAAGGAAAGCAGTTAAAAATAAAAGCTATACTGCATAAGCCACTTTTGGAATTGTATTCTCACTGTGGAAGTTCACTCTCATTCAATTGAGCAAAGTAAATGAATTTCGGAGTATATGTACTTTAGAAGGGCACGAGATAGTTGACTAGTTTTTAAAGAATTTCTTCAAGAGCTGGGAAGGGAAAAGAACAGCAAACTAAGATTAACTGAACATCCACTCAATAAATGGAGCCCAGAAATTAATGCAGTAATTAAACAGCAAATGGACATTGCAATAAAGAGTAAATCCTTCCCTTTCCTCTGTATTTATCCTAACACACTACAGCATTAACTTAGCTACACTGAATAGCGATCTGCTAGATAGACAATAAATTATTTTTTACTGAGTGTGTTTAATGACCCTCATTTATGATATCAGTCTAAGTAATGAGTGGTTCATATAAAACCAAAGTGAAAAGATTCTACACCAATTCTAAACATTAACAGAACTGGTACACAGCCCCACTGTCTTACCTCCTTGTTGGTAACCAGGATCCTAAGCTAAGTTAACAGGAGCTCGACAACTTTGTGGAAACCTTTCACTCAGATTGCTTACCCATTAAAGCAGAGGACAATATGGTAAAGGACCTCCTCGTGACACTGTTTTCCCTTCAACTTTGTTTATTGATGTACTGAACATGAAAAAGTACAAAGGATCCAAACACAAAAGAAAACATGTACAACCTCTTAAATACTCAACAGAATATATTTTCTATTCCAACAGATGTGAATTAAGTCATACTATACAACTTCAAATAAATACCAGCCTTATATTTTACTAAGTGCTCTGATAAACACTGTAAAGTGAAGCCCAATTTACATGCCTTCTCATCAATGCCGTTAGTTGCTACAGTAGTATAGGAAAGAAGCATGTAGCTACTGTTTTCCCCACATTGGAAAGTTTGTGATTTCTATAGTATATACAATTTTTAATGCAGAGGATTAGCCTTAACAATCTAAATGCACCTAAGAATGAGGAAGTGCTCAGGAAGCCAATTGATTTTTGAATAGCATTGAGTGGGTCAGCATGAAAACTCGCTTATTCACTTTAGCACGCGCTTCACAGTATATGTACTGTACTATACTGAAAAATTTATAACTACAATTTAAAAGAATAAGAACCAAAAGCAACTGCAAAGATAGTGTACAACTATGTTATGCATAGAACATTGCTTTTTCTAAGGGGAAGCATATGAGCATCTCAGTTTATACAAAAAGCAGGACGTAACTACGTAGTTGTCAGTGCATCCTGGTGAAGGCATCAAACCCTCAGCTTTTTTTTAAAAATTTAATTATAAGCTAGATGCTAATCAGAAAATATTCTGTATTTTTTTTTCTTAAATTTCTTCAATACATGGTAAAGACTTTTTCTATTTCCCCAAATAGTGATTTAAGCATCATACAAAGTTAAATTTCAATAGCATACAGGTATTTATGGGTTTTGTATGAAAAATGTAAGGAAATTTGTTCAAAACCTATGATTATACTCGTTTTTTTACCACAAACATATTTATAAACAAAAATGTAGCATCACCATAAACAGCTGAAGCTAGACTATCTACAGACAAAAATAGCAACAGATCTGATGCACTGTAAATTCAAGTCCTCAGGACAACAAAAATGAATAAGCAGACCTCAAGTAACAATGTTAATGCCATTTACAAAGAAAAAAGTCATACAAAAACATTCAAAATTGAACATCACTTGGCATGTAACTTAAAAAATAAACTAAAATCAAAATCAGCTGAAAGGTTCGTAACTCAAGGTCTTATTTACATTACACAAAGCTCAGGTGTTAGCCTTGAACATAACTTTCAAAATACCTCCAAATATACCCAACTCAGGCCACTTCTGCTGATTTGCTACTGTGCAAACCATGCTCAATGTCTTTTCTTAAGACAAAACAATTCTTCAAACAATAGCAAGTACATCACTAAACACCATGAGCTCTATCTGAAGGGAATTCTTTAGGAAGAACAGATTTTTTTTCCCCCATCTCTCAGTATTTTAAGTTTCCTGCTTGCTCTTATATTCTTTTTTTAAATTTTCATTTGTTTCAAAATCACAAATTAATGTGAGCCACCTATCACTTAATAACCAGGATGATCAAAGACCCCACTGATGATTACAAAAATGAAACCAACAGTGCATCCCATTGACTCTACTTCTTAATACAAAGGTCTCAAAAGTATTTCTACGTCATAAATCTTTCTAAATCTTCCCCAACAATTGCAAATTTCCTGGTAAGTTTTAAAAGCTCACTAGGTGTCATATGAAGAGATTTCTCAAAGTATTCAAGTCAAAATATTTGTTCCAGGACCAGTAAAAAGTTTCTCCAAATTTTTTTTTTTTTTTTTTTATAAAAATAGATGCTTTTTTAAACCCACATCAAAGAGGCTCTTATCTCTTTGGCAAGGTACTGCTTTACGAAAAGTTCTCCAGTATTCTTACAATAAGCTTTTATAATGTGTTCCCATTCCCCAACCCAAATGATAATTACAAAATAAATACTGCTTATAACTTTATAAATAAAATGTAAACTTCAAATACTTTTTTTGAACAACAAAACAGCAATGCATTATAATGTAAATCAAACACAAGGCAAATCAAGAAATAACAAAAAAAACAACTTAAGAAGTATAACACAAAGCCTCAATATTTACTCATAGGTTAAAGGCAGTCATGTAAAAAGAAAAAACTTCTTCCCTTAGCTGAAACATTTTAAAAGGTCCACCTTCTTCAAAGAAGGCAATAGAATATGCATTGTGACAGGTAAAAAACCTGTACCTCTTGTCAATACTCAAACACAAAAGATATTTAAGAAGTTTTAATTCAAATATTAGCAATAAAAAATCTCACATATTCTTAGGATGCTAAGTAGTCATTTTATCCCCATTTCCACACTGGCATACAACAAAGGCATTTACTAATGCATAAAGCTTCTTGTAAATTGCCTTTGTTGTATAGTTTTCATGTATTAATGCACTGAGAATAACTTGTTAGGCTTTGTGCGTTTTGTTTGTTTTGAAGGAGACCTGCAATACTCTGTCCCCAAGGCGGTATCCATTCAGGCTGGCTATTGCCATAGCTGCCTCATCATAGTTTGTCATAGTCACAAATCCAAAACCTTTGCACTTGTTGGTGTTAAAGTCACGGATGACCTTCACATTGGTTACTGCTCCGAAGGGTCCAAACATTTGCCAGAGGATACTCTCATCAGCATCAGGGGCCAAGTTGTACACAAAAATGCACCATCCAGTTCCTGCATGTCCAGGGATATTAATTCCAGCCAAACTGGTCATTCCATCAATGGTCATTGGAGGAAACCTACTAAAGAACGGGGGAAACAAAACAGAATCAATGAAGTAGCTGTTCACAGAAAATCCCAGCAAAGAAATTCCAAAATAAAAAAAGAAAATGATACAGGGCTTTTCACAGCATGAACATGTTGGCCATACTAATAAGGTAACGTTGCAAGTATTTCCTCCCCGCCCCCCAACCGCACAAATACTATGTACAATACTATACACAAGTAGGGGGAACAGTGCTGGGTCTGTCTGAAATGAAGTAACATAGAAAAACAAAGGAAAAGCATGCTATAAGACCACTGAGGATTAGTAAGTCATTTTAAACAGGAATTCCACGGAACTGCCACAAAAGGTTTGTCTCTTTCATGCCCAATGCACCGAAATGAACAATTTCAGCTGAAGTCGCAACATGCAAAAATCCAACGTAAGTCTTACTGAAAATGTCAGAGTACACAAAATACTTAACAATAATTTGGTTATTATGAACCTAATAGTCCTTTATTACCTCTTTACTCCATAAGCCATGTTGAGCAGATTGTCCAACCTGCAAAACATTTAGCAAAGTATTCAGTCTTCAGACTTTTCCACCCTTTAATCTTAAGGAAACTTGGTATATTATTGCCACATCCCTTGCACTGTACAGAACCCTCATGCAAAGTTAAAGTATCACCACTGAAAGAGCTGTGGCACCTTATCACAGTGTGTACACCTGACACAGTTAGTGAATACAAAATGAATGTTCTTGTGTAGTATCCACAACCACAAATAGTTCAGTTTAGAAAGTGCACCACTACCACAAGTTTAGCCTAAGTCAAATACTGTTGGCATAAAGGTACAGCCAGTGACCACCTCAGTGAAATTTTCCAGATTACTAACTTGTTTTGGATGAAGACTTTACTGAGGCTTCTGACAGTTTGCTGACATGGATACCCAGACAGACACAGGGTTTTGGCGCAGTACCAAATGTTAGAATATGAACTGCAAAAAAGATTTTTCATTTTCCTATTCTTTTCCAAAATGAAGTGTTTTTAGAATATATACACACACATATTAGACTGTCAGCTTTCTCCATGTATTTCTTCCCTCAGCTTCCCCCAAGCTGCTAAACTGTAGTATGCAACCACAAATCTAAAGCCTTTGGAATTACCTAGCCAATACCCGAAACATGCAGTGCCTACCAATCCTATTAATCTTATTCCCGAAGTCCCTTAAAGTGCTTTTCTAAGAAAATGTCTGCCCTAAAGAAGCTCTGGTTTCTTCCTGGCAAGGCCCATACATGTGAAGAGAAAGTCTTGTTAAAGGTTCTCTTCAGGACTCCACAAAATAATGAGCTTAGGTAAAAAAAGTACACTTGATTTAGTTTTTAGCTTACAGATCTGTACTTTATTGTGATTTCTGTCCAATAATGAGCTATAGGATTTAAAAGAACCATTACTGGTATACAGAATCCAAACTCAAGTGCTGCAACAGTGTAACTATACTTGTGCACAAAAAGCTTGAAGAAAAAATACTTGGTCTTGTTTGCAGTTAAGTAAAGATCTCAAACTACAAGAGCATTATGATTCTGCAGTGAGCAGGGTTTACGGGATGCACTGACAAGAAAGCAAGTCACTGAACCCCTAAAAGAGCAGAAAAGAGGAAATTAAAAAATGCCTGACTACTATCGGTAGACTTAGTGTGGATGACAGAGGTCTACTGGCATTAACATTTGGGGGTAGACAGGAAGGTGAAGAGTTCCAGAAACACCACCACTTACAGGTCCTTGCTGTAGAGCAATAGGCTGAGGATTTCATACAGTAATTGTATCACTGAAACAGTTTTCATTGGTTACCTGCACGACTTAAAAATATTCTGGAATAATTCTCAGGGGCATTCACTGGACAATTTTTAAAGACGCTTTAAGTTACACATCCTACAGAAACTGAGGAACAATAATATATAGCTGCTTTTCAAAGTCCAGTTCAAGATTTTTCTTAATAAAAAAAAGAAGCATTGTAGTGGTCCTATTGTTCTACGCTACTAAAGTTTATGCTGACTCTGTTTTCAGGCCTCTGTCAACCGTTAACAGAGACAGGGCAACTGCATCAGGTAATCCTGTCTAAAATGTCAACAGCTAAGATTTCTTGCATGTGCAAGGCATGAAATACCTGAAGCAGCAGTGCAATCTGAACTATGTAGTCAGCAACAGAGCTGGAATGCTGCAACAACAGCAAAGCAAAGACCTAAAAACCCAAAAGAGACAGACTTCCATTTACAGTTATAAAAGTTTAAAATTTGGCAAGGCTCTCTCTTTTAGAGAAGAAACAGAAGCCTGAAGGCCTTCCCAAAAAAATTATTTAAAAAAAAAAATCTAATTTTGTCTGCAACCCTAGTTTACCCTTTGACCAGTCAGTTCAACCTTATTTTTCCTTCTATATCGATAAAAGTGAGAAAGATTTTACTCTCCCTCCTATTCACTACAGTCTTGGTACCTACTCAGTGCTTTTTGTTACCATTATACTTTCAAGTGGAGCAAATCTCGGTATCTCTGATGGTTGTTTCAGGCATCACTTTACACTTAGTATCTCAGGGGAAAAAAACGTTCCAGTGAAATTTAAATGGGCATTCATAAAAATACACTTCCGTTTTAAATTAAAAAAAAAAAAAAATCACAATTAATCAAATAAAATTTTTAAGTTTCAAAGCCTAATGTTGCAGGACAGGAATAGCCTACTGTAATTACTTAACTGCAAAGAACTTTAGGTCCTATCCAAAGAAAAAACCTCCTGAAGTTGGAGAATTTTTACAAATCATGATAGATCTACCTGGAGTATCGGTTAAATACAGATGCTATCCCAGCCAATACCAGATCAATACCAAACACAGCTGAGTACCTGGGAACAAGTGCACTCAGAAGAGCTCAAGGAGTCAGCAGACCAGACTTGCCAGAATATGTTGAATGCTGTAACACACAGGCTGTACAACAGCTCCCTCCTGATCTTATGTCATATAATGCACCTGGGTTCACCTGCAAGTGCAACTTCTGCCCCTATGCTCTCTCTATGGAACAATGGCAAACCTACTTTTAATCAATATTCAGCACACTATTTAAATTACTTCCCTAAGAAATGGTAAGAAAATCAACCAAATAATGAATAAAATTGGTTATCCCTTCCCTTAGGGCAGAAAGCCTACTCTAGTGCTGACCTTCACACCTGTCAAACACTTGCAGCACATAAGGCTGAAAAGCTGAAAAGAAGAAGAATTCAGAAGTTCTGCCAGAAGTGCAGACCATGAACTCTGAATGTTTGGCCTAAAAGCGACAGTAGCCAATGCAGAACTTTTGAAGTTTGGTATATTCTCTTTGAAGCAAACTGCCAGCTGATTTTATTTCTTGAAAAATAAAATAGAAACTGTTTGAGTATATTACTTTTTAACACATTCCAGTCACGCAGTCCAGGGGCAGAGGGTGGGAAGAAATGATCAAAACCACTGAAAAAAATCCGAGGTACTCATGAATGTAGATAATACCATATTTGTTTTACTTTGTTCTCACCATCTGTCCTTTTCAATACACTAAATATCACAGGGAACTGTATGGCTGTAGTTTCAACATGACGGGAACATACATCCGCAAAAAACACATGCAGAAAATATTTGAATAATCTTCATTACAAAAGTTTGTAATAAGAGAAGACAAAGTGTGGCATGCAGGATTTAGACAACTGACTAGGAAAACACTGAAAGCCAGAATGGGGAGAAAAGATAGGGGGTGGGGAAGAGGAGGCTGGCTGGCATGCCATATGGCTAAGAAGAAAATTGAATTGCTTAGGTCGATGTTAACTGAATCAACTTGCGCATTAATCAACAATAATCTAGGAAATTAAAAATAACCTTTAAAAAGGGATTTTTTTTTTTTTAGTGACTGTGTAGAAGAGAAAGATGTCATCTCAGTTTAACTCTAAGTAGGTTTATTAGATACTGAAATGCTATCAATAGGATGGAAAGTGTTTTTGCTTTTAGCTGTATTGCAGGAGTATAGCTGAAGTTCAACATTTTCATGTGTTTCCTTCACACACAGAAATCAGACAAGCAGGGAAAGGAAAGAGCAGAGGGAAAAAACCAGGCCCATGGAAACACGTGGCTTCCAGCACAGTTGCACACAATTATGTATTTGACTTACCTAAAACGTTGAGCCTGCTGAGCTAGAGGTGCCGGATACCTTCTGTTTGGAGAATGGTACAGCTGGGAAAGGATGGCCTGATTGGTTTTTTGGCTTGGATTGTTAGCAAACTTTACAGTGATGGGCTCTGTGGCACCTGGAGGTTTCTGGCCATTCAAGCCCTTGATAGCTTCTTCTGCTTCAATTCGCTTGTCAAACCGGATAAACCCCACTCCCCTTGATACCCCTGCACACGGTGAAGGAAGCATATAATAATTAATTCAGAGACTCTGGAATGTTAGATGCTAACATTGGATTTCCATAGCCAATTGCTATGTTAATGGCTAATTGCTGTGAACACGTGATAATTTTGATCTTATTAGAACTGAGCTTTTGCTCAAAGTAGTAAGACTTTTCAACTGTAATTTTTTTTTTTTTTTTTTTAAATTTAACTGACATACGATACCTTGTGTAGAAAGCTTGGAAGGTTGAGGGAAAACACAGTGGAGACTTAAACGTAGTGAGCCAAAGGGTAATTCTGAAACAAAGTGATTTTGGGAGGGGATGGAGGTGAACCCAGAACCAGCTGCACTGTAACCTCTGTTCAGTTCATGCTACTCTGTAGTATCTAAATTCACAGAAATTCTGTAAATAGCTTAGTCATCTGCTCCCTAGCAGCAAGAAATGGCTTATGCTTTCTGCAGCACCCCTTGAAGATCCCTTTGGAGCAAATATGCTGAGAGGACAAAGAATGGAATGCAGGTTCTAGATTGTAGTAATGGGAATTATGGCCCTGTTTTAACAGTCCATGGTTACCTCTAAGTAAAAGATTCCGTTTCAGCACACCACTACACTTTTGTAGGTGTTATTTTTCAAGGGAACTTTTCTTGGGCCATAGATTCTTCCTTGGTATAGAAACATCAAAGACAACATGCGAGGGGATCAGCAAGTGTTTATGGAAGGCCTTAGGAACATCGCACCTCAAAAACTTATACTGTGGTTTAAATATAAACAGACCGAGGTGTCAATACTTGAACCAATTAACATTAAAGCTATTACAGCTAACACTAGTTAGTTGCATGCTTTCCTGTAATACTCTTAAATCCATTTAGAGGCCCCTTATATTTTGGTTCATGAATAAACAGACAAGTTAGACACTTGTCCTCACTTGAGAAAGACATTAATGACAGGAAATGTATTCTGTTCATAAACAATGACAATTTAAACCATCAAAATAACAATGAGCAAGCCTAAGAAAGCTTTAAAGAGACAAACGTCACAGCTTCAACTTTGCATTTTTCATCTGTCAGTTTGTGTCACAACCTTATTATTCATATCATGAGTCTACCTCTTTCAAATTACTAAGAAGGAGGAGGGAAGAAAGCTTAAACCTGAACAACAGTCTATGCCAGAGAACTACTGTGCACCTACTAGGATTTATGAGTACTTAGAATTACAGTACACATTTAAAAGTTTAATTACATTTACTTATTTGGCCCATTTGTCAAATCCCACCATTTCTACACAGGAATATACTGGAACATACTGTAAACAGCTATTTATTGCATAAAGACTGGAAATCTGACCTGCAAATCTGCTGCTTCTGCAAGTCACTATTTGGCCTTTCGCTTTCCTTTTCTTCCCTCTCTACACTCTCACCAACTCACACTATTAAAACACCCCGTAAGTATTATGTGTCAATATTGAGATTTGTGTTAACATAACGGAATTGCAAAGTAGGTCCTCTATAGGTCAGCCAAATGTCAAACACTGGCGTGCACAAGCCTTTCAAAGTAAGACCTCTTGAAAACTTCATGACCTCCTACAGCTGAAAGCTTGTTGTCACCCACAATGACGTGCGACTTTGAAAAAGTACAACTATAAAAAAAATCCACACTAGCTTATTATTCAGGGCATAATTATGTGAGTAAATGAATTCTTCTGCCCCACACCCCTACCTTTTTGGAAAGATGAGAATTTGGAGAGCCCTGCTCCTTTGTATTTTGCATTGCACACTCAATACTTCTGTCACATACTTGGCATTTCACTTGATCGCTTATTTTTGGAACAGGCCTGCTGGAAGCAGGGAGGCAGCAAATTATAAAGCTCCTCAAGATCAGCCATTTGAGCCAGCAAAACCACATGTATTGCTGTCCAAGCCTGAAAAGTAACCCCAGAGTGTCACTGACACCCACTCTCTGGTTAAGACACATACTGTGACAATGCAACTAACCTGCTAGAGCTTAGTTCTTTAAGGTACTGCTAAGCACAGAACCTATCTGCACCTGAGGAACTCAGAGTTCACGTCCTTCAGTGTGCCCAAAGTTAATGAGGCAACCTTGAAACCAGTCTTAGCAGCAATTACCAGTCTGGGTCTTTTGTAATCCTAGCCTCGGAGAACCAGCTGTGCATTTCTGCATAAAATTTTATTTTTATAAAAAAGTGTTCAACAGCATTTCATAAGGCACATAGGGACTATTTTCATGCAGCAGCTTGGAAAGGAAGATTATAGCAGCTGTAAATTTATTACAAGCCATAAAACAGGCTTCAAACCTGCACCTTCAGGTTGGAAATGACTCAAGCTGGCTCAGTACACTCCACAATCTATTTTTGTCCATGCATATTTATGAACAATTCCAGCAGAAAATTGCATTTTCTGGCCTACATACACCTTTCACACATTCTAGAGACAAGACTATTGTACTGAAAGGTGAAATATTTCTTAAACTGCCAGTCCAAAAGTGAGAGGAAGTGCAAAACTGCCTACTTACCAGTGACTTGGTCAACCAAGATACGAGAAGTAATAATGCGTCCGTATTGAGAAAAGAGCTGTTCCAGTTCTTTCTGGGTCATCGTTTTTGGAAGTCCACTAACATACAAATTTGCATCTCTGATAGAAGCCGAACTTGGTCGCGCATAGGAAACCTTAGGAAAAAGAAAGTAAAAAAACACGGAAATCAAACACTAGCTGAAGTAGGACAGCGTCATTTGTTCTGAGACATTGAAACATCTTTAAGGGCAGCCAGAAAAGTTACCTTGTAAAGCCAGTTAAGTCTTTTTTTTTGGTGCTGGCTTCCGTAAAAACACTGAAGGAATGCAACATAGACCACGCAGCAGAGCCTAGCTACATGAACTCATATATAATTTATGGAGTACTTTCAAGTAAAGGAGAAAAGCTAGGTACACACTCCTGCATGCCTTGGTGGAGAAAAAGTGTTCTCAGTTAGCTTGCAATAGATTAAAAAGACAAATTCAAGAAGGTCCAAGAATGTTTTCCTTCTAATTATCATTAAAAGGCATTAAAAAACACAAGGAATAAAGATTTCACTTTGATATCTAGGTCAAAACACAGAAAGACAGGCCAAAGCACTTAGAGGTTTGGAAGTGTACAAAGGGCACAGCACTTGAAAAACCATGTGTTGAGCTTGCTATCAAGTGACACACAATCATTCATGAGGTCAAGATAAACTCTCCTACATCATTTTTATAAGCCTAAGAATGAATGGCAGAAGTAGGAATGCAACTTGCATTTTGGCTGTTCAGAAGCTTGTGAATTTCTGCAACACAGAGGTCTTACAACTAAATGCCAAGTAACAGTGAGTTTCTCAGGTCCTTTTGGACAGTTTTTACCTGCTGCCTCAAAGTGCCAGTCAGAAATATTTTATTAAGACTATCAATTAGATTCCTCAACCCTTAGACACATGCTACAAAAATAGCATGTTGAAGAGTTCGGTACCTCCCACTGAAGTCTGTTCAAGTGGTTTATCCTTATTACAGGAAAGATTAGAACAGAACATCCATGCTTGTGGAACAGGACAGGAAAAAATACTTCATTTGGGGTTTCCACTGTACACAGAAGGTAAAAAAGAGCCTCAAGAAGTGGTCAGATTTATCTCCTTTCCTTCCCTCCCTGCAATGCAGGATCAGACAATTCTGGGCAGCTGGAACTTAACTCTCATGTATCTTTTGCCTAATCCTTTTACATTTCTTTTCAAATTCACCCCTGTCTCACTTCCATGCAGATCAGCAGACTCTTTAAGTGGAAGCAAAACAAAAAAGGCAATTGAGATAGAACTACAGAGACTAAACAAGCAGTACCCTGAACACTGCTGCAATAGTTCAACGTTCTACCCAGAGACTTTGTGCAATGTATCTTCCAAAGCTGGCTGAACAGGGCTGACATACAAAACTTGTAAAGATAACACAATATCCAACATAGAGCCCTGCGAGCCACAGTGCCTTGCTCTTTTAACGTGAGAGACACACAAGAGCTAAAGACCTGTGTTCAAAGTGTTTGTCTTCTGATCTCCCACACAGGCAGCTGGGAAAAACCTCAGCTTTTTCTCCTAATTTACTTCTTTTTGTGAAGATGTGCAAATTTAATTGTAGTAGAAAAGCTGCCAGTGTCCATTTTTAATGACAGAATTTCCCAGTTTCCATACAGGTTGTTTCAACTCCAGTAAAGCCACACTGAAGTTTATTTTCCACTGGAGCTGAGCCTACTGAACTGAAGATTACTTAGTCCTCTTTCTTCTACATGCCCCCTCAATTTTTTATATTATTAAAAACATGCACTAGGGAACTGTCCACAGAAGAGCTCATGAAAATTACCACCATCAAGCTGCCAGGTAGACAGCCACAGACCCGTTAGCAAAAATGGATTCAGTGTCTATGATGCTAAGTGTAAAAAAACCAATCAACCAAAAAAAGACCCCACCAAATACTAAAAAAATATTCCTGACATCTGGTCATGGCAGGAATCTGCTATTTGACTCTGGACAAATCTTTCCACCTCAGCTTCCCATGTCACAGAGACTTCTTCTATAATCCAGTCATATACACTGACAATGGGTATTTTCCAATAAGTTAAAAGTTTTGGTTTCTTTTTTTTTTCCCCCTTTAAAAAATACCTCTGATCTTTCTTGTGATTTTTTCAAGATGCAGTGTGAACAGAAAGTAGTAGATCATTTTGTAGACTAGCTGGGAATTGATAAGTTAGATTTTCTATTTTGACTTGATTCGTGCCATTTAAGACAGTCAACATGGGATTATTCCTAAAAGACAGTATCAACTACTAGCTAGAGTCAGATTCACACAGCAGGAGTGTTCAGGACTTAAGTGCCTGTAACCTGCCATAGGAAGCCTCTCTAATTATTAGAATTGTAGTAGTAAAAAGTGATTATGGCTATTTTGCAGCATCATGAGTAATTTATCCATATACTATGCAGCACCACTTTAAATTACAGCAATGATGGGATCTCGTAAATTACTGGAAACAAGACACCAGACAATAGATGTTACAAGAACAGCAGTCATGTTCCTGCACATGAAAGAATACTTGATTCTCAAGAGCCTTTCACAAGGTAGATGAGAAATTTAACAGGTCCTTCAGGAAAGCCAAATATATAATTCTGATTTCTTAAAACTTGCTAGAGTAGATTCAATACTGAAGTCCAAACCTCATCAGCAACATTAGCTCTTTCAGAGGAAGAAAGCAGAGACCCTACTGTTGTACCATTTTGCTGTTTTTGTTTAACTAACCATGCCCTTTCTTTAGATGAGTATTTGCAAAGTCAAGGATGACAAGTACCAGTGGAACTACATAATTAAAGATGAGGGGAAAGCACAGTCTTGCAAGTCAGACAGAGAAGAGGAATCAAGACTTCAGCTACCAGCTGTATGGCAGATGCTGACGCAGCTGGGTCAAGAGACTGATTTTGCCAGTTCTGTGCTGAAGGGTTTAACACCGAAGTTTTGTAAAAACTTTCTTCTTGAAGTGGTAAATCTGCTACCATTATATGGCTGTGCAGCCAAAGCCCAGTACTTGCAAGTTGTGTTTGAAACGAAATTTTTTTTTTTATTCTGTATATTCAACCCTCACACTATATACCCCCATATTTGAAAGAACAGTTTCTAGATCTTGAATTATTTTCCTACTCTTCTACAGGCAAAAGTATACACCTATGATATTCCCAGATACAGAAAGTCTGCACAAAGTGAGAGGTAAGCTGCATCAGAGACAGAAAAACAGAGAGTAAAGCTTACCTGCATTCAGCCAAAGAAGCAAGGACAAGCAAGTTTTCTACCCAAGAGGTAGAAAAATACAACAGCTAAGGAATGAAAGAACTTGCCCAACTTGCCCACTTGGCTATGAGCTGCTTTAAGAAATACAGCTCCATGCCACACTTGGCAGGATGACCCTAAGGAGACCCACGGCCAGAGAACGGAGACAGACTGCCTGGGGGACAGGACTAGACACAAAATGCTGAATTATCAAAACCAAGCAGTTCTGAACACCTAAGTAAATGTTTGTTTTCAAAAGGAACCCTTCCACCCCCTACCCCCGACCCCCCCAAATTTAACTCTACGTGGTAGGAGAGCAGAGCAACAAAGTCCATTTTGTAACTGAACACAATGGACTGTTATTAAAGTGTGAAGTATTAATGTAAAATGACACCAACAGAAGCAGGGGAGGACAGGCACTACTTATAGATAAACTAGATGTACAGCTGCATGCGTCACTGGCACATCTCAATTTCACCTGTCAGTTTTTAATTCTCTCTGGAATTGAGATATACTGAAAACTGTTCTATCCAGTCCTATTTAAGCTGTCAGATGCAATTTTTTCTTTCCATATGTATTTGGTCAGGTCCTCTGGAGAGAAGTCAGAATTCCTGGGAGTGACCATCAGCTAAAGAAGGAAGAAAAAACAATGACTTACCTTTATATTTAACAAGAAAGCTATGCAACTGCTGGTGAAACAACGTTTCACTGAGAAACTCAAAAAACCGCCATGGTTTGCTGGAGATTAAGGAGGTATTGTGGACTTTATGTTAGCTTTGAACTCAGGTAAGTACCTGTTACTAAGCTGTTTTGTAAGCATGTATACTTGCAAGCAATCGGAACAGACATTGCAGAATGTAAGCCTCACAAACTCCTTTCAAACAGGATAAAAGAAGTCTGTATGAATAGAAGATACCAAAGGCCTGCCAAAACCCCTAAGCTGAACTTTATGGTGATACTGTTTTCCTAGTCTCCAAATTATCGAGACTTTGCTCTAGAAGTACTTCTGTAGATATTGATAGATTAAATAGCTCCATTTTCTAAGCAATCTAATGCAGTAATTGGACTTGCTCTCTAGCCACCCACTGCTAACTGTCAAAGTCATTCTGATTCAACACATTAGAATAAAACTGAGGAAGTACAATGTAAGCAGAAATAAGAGAGTTGCGTTCTTTTTGAAGAGAGAAGGATACACATATAAAAAGCAAAGAAAAACCTTAAGTTAAATAAGTGACCTGTGAGGCAATGCTTAATATATAAAACTTCTTTCCCTCCTGGTCAGTGATGCTAAGGTAGGCTAGAAGCAAATAACTAATTCACAAGGTCTGCCTGATCTGCAATTCAAGTTCATTGAATTGAAGAGAATGAAATTAAAATTCTCCCTTCTTACCCATACATCATAATGATGGACCCCCTACCACAGCCCAGCAGCACAGGTGTGGATACCACAGTTCTCACAAGAGAGCTGCTAGAACAGCTTTACAGGTCTGGAAACCACGCTGATATTCCTGCTCACCATCTCCAGTGATTGAATGATCATCTCCAAGCCAAAGGTCCATCCTAGCAAGCAGGAAATCAAGCAAAGGTGTCTAGGGGCCTCCTTGGATGAACAAGGGATTAAACTCCAACATAAAAACGTGTACAGGATGTGAAAGCAGGAATATATAAATGATGTCCAATCATGCATGGATGAGGTTAGGAAAGCTAAAGCCCACCTGGATTTGAATTTTGTGAGAGATTTGAAGGGCAACAAAAAAGATCTATACAAATATATTGGCAGCAAAAGGAAGACTGGGGAAAACATAAACCCACTGCTAAACAGGGCAGGAAACTACTGACCAGGGACACAGAAAAGGATAGGA